ACTTTAAACCTATTGTATCTTCCAATTAGCAACTTGGCATGTCTCATACCGTGTGTTTGTTGTCAATGCTCTTACATGACAACTCCTTCCTTGCGGAGTAGCGACCTACCCCAGTAAAGTGTTCGGGTCCTACCATCTTGGTAGAGGTAGCGGAGCGGGCGAGCTCGTCCGCTAGTTCGTTGCCAGCTATACCTCTGTGATCAGGCACCCAGATTACTTGTACCTGGTTACGTTCCGCTAGGCTGTTCAGCCTTTCCCTGCACTCCTGCACTAGTAGCGATTTGATMTCGTAGGAGTAGATCGCTTTTAGCGCCGCTTGACTATCGCTGAGAATGGCTATTCGCTCATTGCAATAGTTGCATAAGCGTTTATTTCTACACACCGACTTATGTCAAAAACTTCTGCCTGTAAGATGCTCGGGAACTCTCTCATGGGTATGGAGAGCTTAGTGCGTGGGCCCACTTCAACGTGCTATTTCTCAACATCAGCTCGAGATTGGAGTCGTTCCACTCGTCCTTGCTGCCGAGGGTCACCTTAAACTTTTTCTTGAAGTTAACTGTTTTGGTAGTGCTCTCCTTCGGAAGGAGGGCTAATAGTATATTGCCACTTATCTTTTCCTTCGTCTGGGACGAGATTACCTTGACTTTGCTACACCCCTCTGCCGTTATTTGCGGAAGTGTGTGCTTACGTTCGTATGCAGACACAGGCTAGACGCTGTAGCTTCGATAGTTTGGTCTTTACCGAAGTCTGCGACGCTATTGAGGCGTTTCCTCCGATTCCCACGACAGCCGGTTCTACGTTACCGGAATTCACTCGGATTTCATCCGACCAAGGGCTGTTCTTTCGGCGATCTAACCCCGTTCAGATCGGTGAATGTTAATTTGTGTGTGTCATCACTAGAGCAACTCCTTGCAGCAGGGTTGCTCCGTATCCTCCTGACTCGTGCTGGTATTGAGTCCAACCCGGGCCCGGAGGAAGTCTTCTGCTGCGTTTGCGCGAAAAGGCTCCATCCAAACTYCWCCTCGGTCAGGTGCAACACATGCAATGGATGGAGCCATCTTAAGACCTGCTCAGGCCTTAAGACCCATAGGGAATGGACCACGCGTTACGTGGCCCCATGTTTCCTACTGCGACGCTAGCCTCTACGGCTGTGCAATCTACACATAGTTCGCGCGCTGCGCCGCCACCCACCTCAAGTGGCCAACAGAGGATCTCCACGGTCCGCCGGAGCTCAACTAGGCAACATAGCACCCAATCTGACTTGTCCCCCGCCCGTAAAGTATCGCGAGCGAGATAATGGTGGTGGCCTAACCTTCATATTTCACAACACCGTGCAGTATCGTCTAATTGATGAAGACATCGAACGCAGGGATACTATCCTAGAATGTCAGGGCATAGCTGTCCGGTCAGGTGCTAGGTGACTTTAACGCGCACCACGATCTTTGGCATTCCTGTCTGTCAAAAGACCGTAGGGGGATGGAGCTGGCGGAACAGATTAACGATTCGACATTCTGCACAATGAATGACGAAGCCCCACCAGAGTTATGGGCACTTGTAGTAGCTCGCCCGATATTACAATCGCTAGTGGTGGTCTGATAAATAGCATAACCTATGCTAACCCTCGCATCAGACCATCTACCCATAATTATCTCGATCGAGAAACCTGCCGATTTCGTTTCTGTGGACAACCGCACCTTCGTTAACTTCAACAAAGCTAACTGGGTCSBCTTCACAGAATTTACTGAGAGCACCTTCAACGCTBTACCCATTCCTACGGACGTATGCGTTGGCGAACGTCAAGTCCGCAAGGTGATCGCAGCAACTACCGCTCGCTTCATTCCAGCTGGACGAATAGCGGAAATCCGCCCCAACTTTGGGCTTGGTATAAGCTTTGGGCTACTGTCAAAGCTTTGTCCAACCCGAAGAGTCATGACGACCGAGTTGAAGTTCAATTYGATGGTAATGCCTCTTCGGACCTGAAGAAGTGCGCGATCTATTTTAGCCGGCAGTTTACACTGCACCCTTCGGCAGATAAAGCCAAACGATGTGTTAACCGACGGCTGCGCAAAATGCCAAACGACGGCGCGTCACTGACTTTCACCGATGAAGACGTTCAGAGTGTCATCAACAAAGCAAAATCTTCCAAATCCATTGGCCCTGATGGAATCAACATGCTAATGCTAAAGCATCTAGGCTCGACGGGAGTAAAATATCTCACCAAAGTCCCGATGTGTGGAAAATCGGAAGAGTGGTCCCACTACTGAAACCTGGGAAACCCGCCAACAAAG